GGGAAGCCAGCATTGTGAAGAGGCCAGGGGGAAGGAAGCATGGGGAAGCAGCATGAGAATCAGCATGGAAGGAAACATGGGAACAGCATGGAAGAAGCTGGAGAAGAAGCATGGAAGACCATGGAAGCAGCATTGGAAGAAGCATGGGAAGCAGCATTGGAAGAAGCCATGGGCTCGGGAAGAAGCCATGGCGAAGAAGCATGATGAATCAGCATGGGGAAGACAGGGAACGAAGCAATGGGGAAGAAGCATGGGAAGAAGCATTGGGGAAAGCAGCATGGGAAGAAACATGGGGAAGAAAGGCTGGGAAAGAGGCATTGGCGAAGAAGCATGGGACAGCATGAGATCAGCATTTGGAAGAAGCAATTGGGAAGAAGCCATGGGAAGAAGCATGGAAGAAGCATGGGAAGCCAGCATTGGGAAGAAAACATGGGAAGCCTGCATGGGCGAAGAGCATGGGGAAGCATGCATTGGAAGAAGCCATGGGAAGAAGGCATGGGAAGAAGCATGGGAAGAAGCATGGAAGAAGCATGGGAAGGCCAGGCATTGGAAGCAGCATTGGAAAGAAGCATGGGAAGAAAGCATGGGAAGAAGCATGGGGAAGAAGCATGCGGGAAGCAGTTTGGAAGAAGCATGGGAAGAAGCATGGGAAGAAGCATGGGGAAGAAAGAGCATGGGCTTAAGCAGCATGGGAAGCAGTATGGGAAGAAGCATGGGAAGAAGCATGGGAAGACAGCATGGGAAGAGCATGGGAAGAAGCATGGGAAGCCAGGCATGGGAAGAAGATGGGAGAAGCCGGATGGGGAAGCAGCGATTGGGAAGAAGCATTGGAAGCAGCATTGGAAGACTTCCCATGCTTCTTCCCATGCTTCTTCCCATGCTGCTTCCCATGCTTCTTCCCATGCTGCTTCCCATGCTTCTTCCCATGCTTCTTCCCATGCTTCTTCCCATGCTGCTTCCCATGCTCCTTCCCATGCTGCTTCCCATGCTCCTTCCCATGCTGCTTCCCATGCTTCTTCCCAGGCTTCTTCCCAGGCTTCTTCCCATGCTGCTTCCCATGCTGCTTCCCATGCTGCTTCCCATGCTGCTTCCCATGCTGCTTCCCATGCTGCTTCCCATCCTGCTTCCCATGCTGCTTCCCATGCTTCCCAAGCATTTCCTATCCTTCTTTCTGTCCCTGTGAAGACTGCTCATCTCTAGAAAATGAGTCAGTGCACTCCACAACATGTTCTTCACTCGGGGTCCTCTTGTTTTCATGTTCGTAAATCTTGTGGAGACAGCCGATGAAGTGAGAGCCCTTTGAAGCTCTCTGCAAACTCCAGAAGACTTTGGTACAAATTACAGTCCTATTTGATTTCCTTCCTTGAGGTTTCAGTCATTGAGGATTTTAAAGAGCTATGAGAAACCTTTCGAACTTTCATCTTTACCCGTATTAAATATTAAATCTTTCTTGAATACCTGGGCACAGAAAAGAAATATAATTACTTAATAAAATTTGGAGCTAATAATACCTGCTGATATTTTTATAGTCTACCCTTTTACAGAGAACTTCATATGTCTTCACCTTGCAAAACATGCAGATTGGGTAACAATAGTCCATTTTACCACATGAACAAGCCAAGGCATGAGGTGGTAAGAGATGTGCCCAAGGAGACACAGCGAGGAAGAACTGGAGCAGGAATCAAACTGTTTTCTGATTTCCAGTCCTCTGTTCTTCCTACCAACCCCCATACACACACACACATTTAGTGATAATTCAGTCTCTACTGGGCAGTGGTGCTTCTCCACACAAGGTCAATCGTGACTTCTGGGGAGAACGCTATGGAGTGTGATAGTGACAGTACTTTTTATATCATGTATATGAGGATTACTAAAAGAGTCTCTTCCAGCTCTCAATCCTTCTCACTCCTTATTTCCTCACCTTCGACATACACTGTGACCTTGAAATGAGACTGAAACTGAAAATCTTCAAGCAACATCTTTATTGATGAATTGATTAATAGTATTTCTCAAGAATTCTTGCTGAAAATGCTTGCTTTGTATTTTAGAAGGTGATACAGTAAGTAGTGTGTTTCTACTTAGATTATCAGTAAAGTAGAAAGTCGATTAGCAGTTGCTTAAGGATGGGGAAAGAGGGGAGCCCTAGCCAAAGAGTATGCAGTTTCTTTTGGAGGTGATGAAAATATTCTAAAATTGGCAGTGGAGATGATTGCACAACTTGTGGATAACCAAAAAAGATTGAATTTTACATTTGAAATAGGTGAATTATATCTCCATAAAGTTGTTAAAAATAAGTGGATTTATAACAATATGGCATTATCTCTTTTGTACTCCATTCAACGAGTAAAGTGCCCTGACTCTTATGAAGACCATTAAGGTCATTATGAAGACCATCTGGCTTTGTCATTCCCTTGGCCAAGGACTAATCAATGACTCTTCTGGCTGTAGAATCCCTTCACTAAAAATCATAAAACCTCACTGTCTTTTCCTGAAATAAATAGCCATTTTCCTTGAACTCCTGGAGTACTCAATTCAAATCTCAGCACAACTTATTTTTTATTGCAGTTATTTCTTTACTTGTCAGTTTTCTGTAATCAATCATGAGCCCAACCAGGGCAGGAGACATTTGTATTTGCCTTTGAATCTAGCATCAAGCATTGTATTGTATGGCAAGTAGGTTCTCCATAAGAGAGGAAGGAAGGAAGGAAGGAAGGAAGGAAGGAAGGAAGGAAGGAAGGAAGGAAGGAAGGAAAGAATATACCATTCCATTTCATCAGGAGCCAATGAATTCTGAGCATGTGGAACACAGTAACTGCTTTGTGCTCAGACGCACGTTGGTGATGCGCTCATGCAGCGTGCAGTCGAGTGACGTGGGGTAGACATGGGTTGAATTTATGCATGTCTGCAGGAAAAAATGCATGCCATCAGAATGCCTGAATTTATCTAAATGCACAATTTAATGTTGATTTATAATAAATATAATATTACTCTTGCATTATTATCTATTTGTGGCTTACATATATGAATTTCAGAGTATATTTTTTTCTTGTTCTGTGTTGGTTATCAGTTTAAGTCCAGGGACCTTAGATTCTGTATCTTAAATGGCTTTCAAAGGATAGGCTACAAAGCAATTTATTAATAAAGACTACTCTCTAAATAAATGGCTAATTGATGACATTAAATAGATTTTCTTTAAAAACTGACACTGTGTGACATGTTTAAATCGCGAGGTTTTGGTTACTTTTTTTTGTCCATCATTAAGTAAACAACCTGATTCTTCATACACTAGAATCCCAGTTACTCCATGTATAAGTTTATATCATAGGCTATTTTGTGGTGTTGACGTAAAAGAAAAACATTTACCTAAAAGGACTTTTGTAGCTCCAAGGAGATCAAATTATCGCATCCATACTTTCTGTGGCCATCAATGGCCAGACGCAAAGAGGACCCTTTTCTCGGTTTGGCCTCGTGACTCGGGCTCCCTGGCACACCACTCCTTTCTGCCCTGGCTGCCAAGCCACGGCGTGTGCCGGGAGTCAAGCACTGCTCAGCGCTTTCTACAGTGACATTCTGATCGGTCCCTGCCAAAATGTAGATCATTATCGCCATTAAGCACTTATTAAATGTCTCCTTATATACAATGCTGAACAGTGGGTTTCATAGCTCTAGTCCTGGTCTTCTATGAGTTTATATATCTTCTTGGGCAAGGCGGTTGAAAACTGAATTGGAAATCTGGTCATAACAGGGACATTTTTAGCAAGGTCAATGAGAGTAAAATTTGTCACATCATCTACTGGGAACTTTTTTGGGAAGCAGGAAGCAAATTATTCACTCAAGTGTACGGATTTGAAGGTAGCATTTGGGAGTATTAGAGGTGCCCTATTTATTCTGTAGTAGGAAACTTGATCCAATAGGGAGAGAATGGGTTGGCTCAGGCCCAAGAATCAAGGCTGCTATTTCCAGTGCTCCCAACAACTCAGCAAGGCTGGCTTCACTGTGCTTGGGGCAGGGCCAACCTCAGGGCACGTGAGGCCACACTAAGTGTCCCTAAGTGGCCTTATGTATGAGGAAAATCAGGTCCTCTGCAACACAGTGCATTTCTATATTGAGCAACTCTTCAATAGACCAGCGTCCTGGATGGGAGGCATGTGATGGAGGTACAGGGGAGAGAAGAGAAGCTAGCACACAGAGGGTAACTTCGCATCTTCCTCAGCCTCGACTAGCTTCTGCACATTCATTCTTTTGATTCAACAAGTATTTATTGAGCAGCTGCTAGGTACAGCAATGACTATAAATGCTGGGCTTACCATGAAGCATAAAAAAGACTCTCCCCTCTGGGACTCACTCTCTGTTGGAGGAGGCATGCACACCAGCACCCTCCAAAGCACCCGCTGAGCTTCCCTGGCTTGCTGCAGCTACCATGGATTTCCCCTCTACCTGCGCACTTCCCTCGGCCATAGGGCTCCGCACGAGAAATAGAGGGCGTGAGACAGAAGTGAGAATGCTTGTTCCGACTTAGCACGGTCAAAGTCCTCTTTCTAAAGAATAGAACCGTATTCCTGGCATCCCTTTGCAATAGACCGAGTATAGTAAGTTAGAAGTAAGATGCCAGAGTCACACTCTTTGGGCTTGAAGCCTGGCTCTGCCACTACTAGCTACATGCTAGCGGGTGAGTTACTCAAACCATCTGTATCTCATTGTCCTTATTTGTAAAATGGGAATAATATCAATAGCTACCTTATTGAGTTAACTGTGCAGATTAAATGAGGTCATATATGTACAGTACATGTCATATTATACATGCCCCCCTTTATTTTTCAGTATTAACTTACTCTAATTCCTCTGGCTTAGGACGTGCCCAAGCTGTCTCACTGAGCAGGTACTTTCAGCTCTATCCTAACTTCCTTAGGGGAAAGGCCCAGTTTTACACATCATTCTCTTTCCTATAGTGATCTTTATGGAATCATTGAAAGGTTTTAAGCAAGACATTAACATGATCCTGTTTACTTTCCAAATGCTTTTTCTGACTGCCACATACAAATGGATTGGCTCAAGGGCAAGAAAGATGATCGGAGGACTGATCCCCGCCACAGGGGACCTGGCTGCTGCACCCCACGGACTGCACAGGCCGCCCAGGCAGCGGTCTGTCTGGGTCGCACTTGCAAAATACATCCCTCTGTGTTTCAGGGAACCAATCCAAAGCCTTTTGTACTTTTTGAGCTAGGATCATTGAGGCTCCATTAGGGCGGGGAGGGAGAGCGCATTTGGCTGCTGGGTTATGTCTTGCAGCTTGTAACACGCGGCTCCGATCGTTTCGAGCGAGAGCCTTAGTCTGTTTAGCTGAGGTCATTTGTGTGATCTCTTTGGCACTCAAGAGGTAAATTGTCTGTCTTCAATCTTTCCCTTTAATTCTACAATCAGCCCGTTTTCATATTTTGCTATTAATAAGAACATTTTCTCTTCTACTCTAGAAGTGGACATTTGAGGAAATAGTTCCAAGGTTCAAAATCCTTTCATATTGAGACTATGTGCTCAGTTGTTTCGCTGATTTCCTGTGGCTTTGTTTGTTTGTTTGTTTGTTTGTTTGTTTTTAAATAAATATGTTTGAATACCTGGAGCTACATGGTATCATTAAGTAGATTGACCTCTATTTCTAATTTTTATTCATGCCTATCAGTTGTTTCATAAATATTAATAGTTTTGATGTATTGAATATCTATTGATCCCCTTGCTGTCTCTTAGCAGCTGTATGGACTTGGGTCTCTGAGACTGTCAGCTAGTTTGACTGTGACCGCTTCCGTTTTAACATTCCAGGGCTTTTAATGGCATCTGAGTGCCTTGGAGAGGCATGGAATTGTGTCCTTTTAGTTATGATTTCATAAAATTGTGCCGATTGTGTTCTCTGAGAATCAGATACTGAGGTGGAATCAGGAGTGCAAAGGTTTATTGAGAAATAAGATTTGTGAGAGGCTGGGCTGGGGTGTCATCTGACTGTGACACAGTCCTGACAAAGTCTCTGCCAGCCAAATTCAGGACTCTGGACCAATGACTGCCCTTTAAGAGAGCCTGGCATGGGGTAGAAACGATTATGCTCTCGTGCCACCATCTGGCTCAGGCATTGGCTTAGCGTCCCCTCAAGAAAAGTGTAACTTCAATTCAAAAGCTAAAGTGAACCCCCCAAAAGCTTACCACTGGCCACTGTTAGCTCACTGCGCTCCTTGCTGCTGGGCAGCAATTCTCATGAAGAGGAAACAGAATAGTGGCTCATCTCCTTTTCTCCGACATGCAAAATGCAGCACTTTGTGTGTCAGGGAAGTTTGCGCAGTGCAATCTACCTGTCTATACACATGAGAGAGCAGCTCCTCTCCTCCTAAGGATGAACTTAAGAAAGGGAAGTTAGTATAACAAACTCCAAGCCCTGTGGCTGCCATTGGTCTAAAGCCCACAACTGGCACAATGAGTGATTCATGTCAATTTGCCCTCATCCTCAACAACGACCTCTGCTACTCTCACTGGCCTAACTGGGCTTGGGGGATGGCCCAGATCTCATCTCTGAAGGGTCTGATCTCCTTCTTGCTTGCTTATTCCCAATCACAGTTGGGCAAGGAAGGACAAAGAGGCACCAAGTGGGTGACCTGAGTTCCACGTGGATTCTTCCCTGCCCCCAGGGTATCACAGCAGCCCTTTCTCCTCCTACTGATCATGGTTGGTTGCTCCTGAGAAGATGCTGAACCCTCTTCTTGCCCACCAGTCCCTGCATGCAAGGAGCCCTAGGTGCCCAGGCAGTAGCTGTAGTCTGTAGTTTGATTAGATCCTTGCTGTGTACACTGGCAAGAGTGCTCCCTTTCGGGGATGAGGACCTCGATTTCTGTAGTGAGCTGTCAGAAGCACAAAGTCTCTCCATTAATTTGTGGGAATGGGTATTGGTGCATCAACTCCTTATACATGCCTTCGTTCTCAAACTTATGTATTCTTTCTATTATGAACCTGGTGCCAGGTAAACATCTCTGATTCAATGTGTATATTTGTATCCTGAAAGATAGGGCTCAATTTTGCAGAGTTTTTCCTCTGGGCTGGTAATTCATCTGTGCCCTCAGCAGGCCTTTTTAATGACCTCTGAGACTGGCCGCTTCTGGGTGGTGTATTGTGTGATACTTCCAGTGGGTTCTATAATTTTGGGCTCCCTCCCACACCTCCATCACTGCAAAGCGGTTCTCTGATCAGATGCTATGACTGTGTGGCATTCCACACCTCAGAATCAAATATCCTTTAAACCCCAAGATATAGGTGTTAGCTGAGTTTCTGCAGGTGGAAATGACAAACCTAGACCTGGAATAGGTTAGATACTCTTGAGGGATCCAATAGAATAAACTTGCCACCATCAGTTGGTTCCCTCAAGGAACAGTGCCATACTGGGGGCATCAAATTTGTTTCTGTTGCTAATAGGTTAGACATTGATAGGTAGCAATAGTTAAACTGGCCTTGGGAAGTGGGAGATGGAACTACTAATCCCAGGTATAGCTGTCAAATTTGCTTCCATGGTCACTTGATTCACCTGTCCATTGTGACAAAACTGGACTGGCTGCTGACAAAGACTGGTTAATGCCAACTGGCCAAATTGTGCTTTTCAGTTTGGTAGTTTAGTGCCTCATCCATGGTGGATGCTTTCTGCCCATTTTAATATATCCATTTACATACCTCTACTCTCAATGTTTTTTTCTCCAATCTTTCAATCTTTTACTTTCCTGGCTCCAGACCAGCCAACCAGGCCATTTGCCACTGACCATGAAGCTTTTTACCTCACTGCTGTTTTATGAGATCTCCTCTGAGTGAGGCTATAATGAGGTCACTATGAATTTTTGGCTTGTACTCACTCACTAAGATGACCCATGCAAACACCAGGCTCTGGCTTTTTGCCCTTCCTTCCTGGCTTTGCAATATGGCACTTGTAATTGGCCCCATCCAGTGTAGCCATAGCGACATGAAAAAAGAACACTGGTGCGGTCATGGTGGGTGAATGGGAATTTGGGCTACTTGCTCATGCATGTTAATGGTGCCCTCCAGTCCTGGTCATGTTAGGCCTTCATATACCATTTCCATCTTATGATGGACTGCTGCCATCATCTTCCCAATTCCTTAACTTAGTAACTCCAAGAAGAACCAGTTTTTGCAGACTTACAGTCACTTGGTGTCTGACAGCCAAGTGTTTCCTATCTATAAGAGCCCAACAGCACAAGAACCCAAGAGCTGTTTTCCGATGCTGTGTGATTCTCTGATAGAGGTGGTGCAGACCATCTCAAGAACTTCAAGTGCTTCTATTGCTGTTCTCGTGCTAGCACTTGCTATAAAGCCCACATTGCATTCTTTTCTACCACTGATATCTCCAGCACCACAGGGCCTGACAGATTATATGGCCCAAGTGGCAGAGTTGCTTGTACCACAGTCTAAGCCCTTTGCCAAGCCCTTTTTATTACCATGGAACCCACTCAGAGCTGACAGCCTATTGTGTCACCCAGTATTTGGGTCATAGCAATATTCCTACATGTATAATGTGTTGTCTTCAGAAGCTAAAAAGGCCTACCAAGACTTGTGCATCATTCATTGTAAAAGGGGATTTAAGATGCAACAATTTATCTTTTACTTTGCACAGGATGATCAGCATGCCCTGGCCAGTAGACCCTGGATATTTTGCTGAGGTGGCAAGGCTCATTAATTATTATAGCATTTATTTCCCACCCCTGGAGTGCATGCATCTTACCAAAGCCTGCAGTATACTAGCCACCTTTCACTCACCCTCAGTATGGTGCTCTGCTGCAGTCCAGACAGCACAGAACTTGTCGGATGATATAACAAAGGTCTGGAAAGTCAACAAAATTAACAGGGAGGAAAACTGTAAATATGCATTGTTTTTATTCTACATGAATGCAAACTATTTCTGAAAGTCTTTCATCATTACAGTAAGAAAGAATGTATTTGCCAAAGCACTGGCTACGGATCATGTTCCTGTACTCATATTAATCTGCTCTAGCAATCTAGAATAGCAGCTAGCATAGGGCTGCTGCATATTAACCTTGTGACAGTCTCTGCAGTCACTTGACAGGGTCCATCCAATTTCTTCCAGGCCATACCAGCAAGCTAATTGGATAGTGACTGCCACCTCACTATATTTAAGCATGACACTAATCTCTAGTAACCCCCACTTCCAGCGAATATGATTCTGTTTGTGTCTGATGATCTTGTCCAGGAATGAGGTAGTTTTTGAGGCTTCCACTCAGCCTTTCTCATATAATGGCTTTTATCCCACAAGCCAAGAACCCAAATTCCAAGTATGTTAATCCCAATTATACATTCAGCAATAGGAAAAAAACCACTATGTGGGTCTGTGCATCCAGTGGGCCCGACATAAAGCTAGACTGTGAACCAGGCAGTCTGAGTCTTTGGGCATCCATGTCAATTGAGACCCTGTGGTCAAGATTCATCAGAATATCTGGTATTTCCTTTCCTTTGGTGTACAGCCACTCCAGTAAATGGCCATAGGTCCATTTGGGAAAGGACTGGAATGATCATTAGCACATATTAGTGCCATGGTATTACAGATTCTTGCCCACTGGGAACCTGGCCACTTCTCTAGTCAGTAGCTCTTGGTTCTGAAAACAGACTCATTTTTGGAATTGGGCAAGTGATTGTGACTTTTTATTGGGGCAACAGCTCTTGGCCTCCTGCTATATGATAAATACTCTTATTGGCTGCCCATCTGTTTTTCCATTCTTACCAGTGCACCTGTCATGGCTTTGGTGAATGGTGTGTTCTCTGGACTTTGTCATGTAACTTAATCCTCTAGGGGCTGTGAGGCCTCCCATAGTTATATCTATTCTAGTATGCCTACCTTCCTGAGCCTTGTCATTCCTTCCCAGTCCTTTCCCAAATGAACCTATGACTATGCTAGGCCCCATGGTAGGGGCAGCCATCCGGCTTTGCCCAGGCCTGCTCAGGTTTTGCCACAGAGAATCTGCATCCCAGGAAGATAAATGAAGATTCACTCCATCTTTACCTCACTGATTTGAATAGTCATTTTTTCAAAAAAAAATCTTAGGCAAACGTGTCAAATTTACTGGAACTACTTATAGATTACTCTAATTGTTCTGCTTAGTTTTCTGCCAGTTCTTTATTGTTTTCACTACTTTGAGCTGCATAATATATTTTGCTACTAAATAGAGCCATTCCCTCTGTTGTGGGAGTTTTGGGGTGGAGTAAGGGAAATACAAGAATTCAGGACACCAGCACAGTAGCCATCCAGGCACAAGCAAGTTGAATGTTCAGATATACTCTGTTAAAGTTCGATGTTTATGTGTTTTGCTAAATTGATAAGAAATCTCAAAAGCAGTTAAGCTCATGAATACAAAGATGTTACAAAATTAGGAAGTTAATATGTGTTATATGACTAGATCAAAGCAAAGAACTATGTGATCATTTCAATAGATGATGGATGGAAAGGGATTCAATTCCAAATCTATTCTAGGTTTTTTCAAAAAATTTTTAGCACACTCGGTAGATGAACATCATTAAAATACACATCTCTAACCCAAAGCTAGCAGCATTTCAGTCAATATAATTGAATACTGGAACTAAGTAAAAGTTATGGCATGACAGAGAGAAATATTTTTTTGCAGATGATCTTAGTCTATGTCCAGAAATTCCAAGAAAAAATGATAACAGAAAATACAAAACTGTTAAAAATAATTCTATTGTTTTTGGTTTCTAATTTATTAATTTCTCCATGTATTTTCCTTTGGCCTTCTTAGATTTTCTTTTCTTTTTTTCTTCCTTGGGTTTTCTTTTCTTTTTTTAACACTTTTCAAACATCTTAAGTGGATCACATTACTTTCTTTCCTATTGTTTCAAATGTCAGTGATTGAGCAATGAATTTTTCTATAAGAAAAATATCTCTATGTGTTTCATAAGTCTTTACCACATCTCATCAATTCTAAGATGCATTCTTTTCCACATTTTAACATCTCTGAGTTAGAAATGTATCTTGTGGTATCAATGGCATCTTACCATCATAGTGGCCAGGAAGCAATTGTGATGTGGCTGTCATTGCCCCAACTTGACTACAGCTGTTCAGTACTGTACACTACTTCACTGGAGATACAAGCATTCCTGGTAATTGCCATTTGAATTGTCTTAAATAAGTTTTTCCTATCATTTGGCATTGAAATAAAGTTATTGTGGATGCAGAAATAAGTGAAAATAGATCAACAGGGCACATGTTTATATTAGTGAGGTACATTTCCACATTAGACAAAGAATAACTACAGTTCCATATGTTCTTGCAAACCAGCTGCCAAATGCTTTGCTAGACCTTAGAAAGGAATGTATCTCCAACTAGATGAAGCCATGTTACATTTATTACTGCAATGCATGAAAAAGGATTGCCCGTCGTCCCACAGTAAGCAATGTGACTAAAGAAAGGAGAAAATGCCAATACCTTGGAACATAAAGAATACATTTTGAACCAATGAGAGCTCTCATCCATGCAGAATCCAGGAGTGTTGTCAAAGCACCAAATATTAATTTGACTGAAACTTCCAATTAATATTGAACAGAAGCTGCTTAAAGTCCAGTTACCATGATTCCATTGAGAAAGAAAAATTAAAACATGACTTTCAGCAAGTAAAAAATACTGATAAAATACCAGTGTTCCTCAACATGCTTTTAAATTATACTGAAAATGGTAAAGGTGATAAAGAGACCAAGATCATGAACACAGGACCAGAAAGCAGCAATGACCTTCCTACGATGCTTTGCATAATTGCTATTAGCCAAATTTGCTGTCATGTTTCATTATAAACCACAAACCAATCTCTAAGAACGAAGTGTTCTACAATGGTGCTATTAGGCATGCACAGAGCAATGGAGGAACCATGGCTTAGTGAGGGAGAACTGATGGATGACATGTCATCTAGAAAAGAAAGATGTGCACGTGAGTCCTAAAGTACAAATAGGGGTGTTTCGGGAGGATAAATTGGGAAAGGGCATCACAAACCAGGCGACCAGCACAAGAAAGTTATAGAAGAACATAAATCCATTTGGGAAGATTCTGCTTAGATACACACTTTTACGTGGCAAAGCATACCTCAGTCTGGCCGCATTGTTTAAACAGAACTGGCTGAGCTCTTGGAGGCTGCGCAGAGATCTTTCCGGTAGTGGCGCCCTCCAGTGATGGAATAGCCTGAATCACAGTGTTTGAGGTGATGCCTACTTCTGATTTTATTCTTCGTTTTTGTCCCCTGTGTAGCACAGAGCTTAGTGCTTATGGGACATTGAAGAAATATTTTTGAGTTGCAAATGTAATGTGACTTTTGTAGCTTCAACATTGTCTTGCAGAATGCTGAGCACATAGAAGGCCTCAATACGTATATTGAGTGGTGTCCTGATTTGCCAAAAATTTTCATGAGCTCAATAGACAGGTTTCACTGCCAAAAATTGTATGTACTGTATTTCTGTGTTCTTCATATTGCTTTCTTTGCCCGCCCTGCCTGTCACCCACACCTATGCATCGGAGGGTGAGTAGTTAGAGCAGCAACACTGGATGTGGCTAGCATTTCTTCTCACCAATGGCTCTGAGCATCAGCTTTGGGCATCAGCTCACTTAAATTGATTTTTGGAAAAAAAAGTCCATAATATCCATATAAAATGAAAACGTATAATCATTTGGTGAAATCCTATTTTAGGTATTGTTTTTAGCAAATTCTAGAGGTTATATCTTCTCCCTATCATCACTAAATAAATCAAAAAAAAATAAAAACAAACAAAACACAGCTCTGTCTTTAGCTCAAGGGTTATGCACAAGATCTTAGATGAATAGGAAATATTAGAGCTGCATATTAACAATATCCAAGATTGGATTATTTTTTTTTGAGCTGAGAATTTTAAGCATATTCAATACAAGATTGAAGATCCATGAGCAGAGGCAGGAAGGACAGTATGGAAAGATACAGGCAGACAGACAGGCGGATATACGGACAGACATTGGCTATTTCATAAAATATATTCTTGTTTTAGCCTCAAACATAAATCTTGCTTATTTAACAACAGATGTGGGCAAAAAAATTTTCTATGTTTTATGAATTTATTATTTACACAACTGGTAGTGTTCTGTTTTAAAGAGAATGTTCTATTTCACAGAACTAGGACTGACTCTCAACTTGTGCTAGCCAAAGAGAGACACTGAATACTAAGACCCCAATTTTCTATGTCACTAATTTGGCCACAGAAAATTATTCTTCATGGTATGAGAGAACGATACCATTTTTTTCTGTTTCTCTAATGCCAAACTTTTATGCTTCTTGAAAGAACAATGTCACCAATTTCAAAACTATAATATTATAGACTGTAAAAGCTGCCAGGGATATTGAAAGGTGCCTAGTCCAATTTTCTCATTTTACAAATGAAATAAATAAATAAATTGACTCATCCCAGCCTTTATAAGAAGCTGGTGATGGAGCCAAGACTAAAATCCCAGTTCGGATTTCATGTAAGTGATCTGCTCAGGACAATTTGCAGACCACGTGGTATCTACCAGAGAACCCTGCGCTGCCCATGCAACCACAGACCGGTTGCAGTCAAGTTCAAGAATGTTTAGTGTCTTTCCTTTTGAAGATTCATGGGCTTATAAACTACAAGTAAAAAGTAGTAAGTGTTTCTTTGAAGCGTTCCTAATTAAATCTGAAAGCTCAGAAATCTTAATCATTGTACCAGGGCTGCTTAGTAAGGGTAGTTCTGAGAAAAAGAGGTGAGAAATGGCTGTGTGCTTCTCCCCACTTGTCAGATGAGGAAATTGAGGGATGGGAGAAA